TACGGCTGTTCAGCTAAACCATGGCTTTGAAAAACCCTTCTATCGGCGCTGAGAGACTACCTCTACAACATGAGTACGATCCCCATCCCTAATACGACCGCCTTCCCACCCTATCACTGAAATCGTACGGCCTGTCCTGCTCCTTTCACGACTTGTATAGGACCTACTCTTTTTCCGAAAAACATTTTTCCTCTACAGTTAGGAACAGGTCTCGCAGCAAATCAGCAGGCTACAGTGGATTTGCTCTAAACTATCAACCCGGTGGGGGTCATATATCTCTGGATGGGAGAAAAGTAGGCGAAAAGCGCTAGTCCACCAATTGATAATCACATTAATGCAGTACCTGCTGACAACTGATCCTGCTCGGATGAGTCGCCTCTCGGTTTCCGCAGCGATTGTCTGCTTGACCAATTGAGCATCGATGGTTCGGCCATCTGAAAGACATAATGTCCGATGATGGATGTCTTTAAAGGGAGAAATGAACCTGAGGCTCAAAACTTACCCTCTAGTCGGGCATCATGTCTCAGCCATTGCCAGAGCTGTGAGCGACTGATTTCTGCTGTAGCAGCATCCTCCATTAGGTTGTAGAGCGGTACACAGCCAACACCACGTAGCCATGAGTCAAGGTATCCTAAAATCACAGTCTTTTCTTCTCAAATGTTACGTTAGGGGAAGCAGGATGACTCGCACATACCAAGGGTAACGCTAATATTGTGTCGGAAGCCCTGGTCGGTACGAGTTCCTTCGGGAATAGCTGTCATGTCCTGGTTCGTGACAGAGAAGCTTTGAAGCTGAAATCAGATGGGATCTCCTCATCCATTTTGGAGAAACCTTCCCCTTTTATTCTACCTGTTTCTCAATCTGATTCGCAGTGGGCATCAACTCGTCGAAGACCTTTTTGGCGATCGGTACCAGTCCTGGGTGGGCGACCCATGTTCCATCATGACCTGGAAACCGCAAGTTCGGAAATGGGTGGGTGCGTGGGAAGAAGCTCCTCTACCTACCGTCTGTGGCTTCTCGCTCTTTGTCTTGATGAACTAAGGCGAGCGCTTTGCTGTTGGCAACCTACAAAACCAATGGTTATGTGTTCCAACCCTA